GAACTTCGTTCTGCCCTGGCCCTCTGCGGTTCAACGGCGGCGGGCTCCGATGGTATTCATTATGAGATGCTTCGCCATCTCCCTCCGAGCACGTCACAGTATTTACTGGGTCTGTATAATCGGATCTGGGAGTCGTCGTCAGTCCCTGAGGGCTGGCTCGATGCCGTTGTCCTCCCTGTTTGCAAACCGGGGTCTCTGGGTACTTCCCCTAAGGACTTTTGCCTTATTGCTCTCACAAGTTGTGTCTGCAAACTCTTTGAACGTATGGTTAACGTTCGTCTGATGTGGTTCCTGGAACGCCATCACCTCCTCTCCCCTTCTCAATTTGGTTTCCGCAAGTGCCGCAACACGACAGATGTCCTGGTGAACTTGGAGGTCTATATTCGTACTGCTTTTGCTGCGAAGACCTCCGTTGTTGCCGTCCTTTTTGACCTGGAAAAGGCTTACGACACCACTTGGTGTTATCATATCCTATCTCAACTTCATTCTTTTGGCCTTCGTGGTCATCTCCCTCTCTTTCTCCGCAGCTTCCTCTCTCGTCGTTCCTTTCGGGTGCGCCTTGGTACCGCTCTCTATCCCTCTTTTCAGCAATACGAAGGTGTGCCCCAGGGTAGTGTTCTGAGCACTACTCTTTTTCTGGTTGCCCTCAATGGTCTTCTTTCCTCTCTTCCTTCTGGTGTCTTCTCCGCTCTCTATGTCGATGATGTTACCCTTTGTTGTCAGGGTGATGATTTGCCTCTCCTTCAACGCCGGCTTCAACTTGCAATTGATGCCGTGTCGTCTTGGGCCACAGATCATGGCTTCAAGTTCTCTACTTCTAAGACTTGTGCCATGACTTTTACGCGGAAACGGGTTGTTCTTCGTCCCTCTTTGTCACTTTATGGTCATCCCCTTGAATACAAAGATTCCGCGAAGCTTTTGGGGTAATTCCTTGACACTCGTTTGTCTTGGTCTCCCAATATCTCTTACCTGCGTGTTGAGTGCTCTAAGGCCCTTACCCTCCTTCGGATCTTGTCCCATACTTCTTGGGGGGCAGATAGGCGCACTCTCCTTGCTTTACATTCCTCTCTCGTCCTGTCTAAGCTCGATTATGGTTGCCCTGCTTACTCGTCTGCTTCTCCATCTACTCTTCGCTGTCTTGATGCTTTGCACCATACTGGGTTGCGCCTCAGTTCTGGTGCCTTTCGTTCGACTCCCATCCTTAGCTTGTATGTTGACACTGGCTTCCTGTCTCTCCAGGACCGCCGTGATCGCTTCTGTCTTCGCTATCTTGCGCGGTCCTTGCAACATCCTTCCTCTCGCCTCTGTCGTGCTTTAACTTTTACCCCTCCTGCGGTTCCTGTTCCTCTTCACCACCTCCCTCTTTCTGTCCGGTTATCTCGCCTACAGGATTCTCTTTCCGTTCGTATTTCTGATGTTTCTCCTCGTGATGTTCCTTCTTTGCCCCCGTGGAGGGTCCCTCTTCCGCGGTTTTGTACATCCTTGACCCGTATCACTAAAGCTTTTACCCCTCCTACGGTTCTAAAACGCCTTTTCCTCGAGCACTTTTCTTCTCACTCCCGCTCCGTTTCTGTCTTCACCGATGGGTCTAAGTCAGCGGACGGTGTTGGCTACTCTGTTGTTTTTCCTGATCGCACTTATGTGTCGCTTGCCTCCGGAGACTAGCATCTTTACAGCGGAACTTAATGCTGTTCTCTATGCTCTTCGTCTCCTGCTTTCTCGTTGTCAGTCTTCCTTTGTAGTTGTTGTTGACTCTCGTAGTGCTCTCATGGCTCTCGGGTCCTTTAATCCGGTTCATCCTGTAGTTGTCGAGATCCAGCATTGGCTGTTTCTCGTTCACAGTAAATTTAAGTCGGTTGAGTTTTGTTGGGTTCCCAGCCATATTGGTGTGTCTTTAAATGAACGTGCGGATGCTGCCGCCAAGGAAACTGTCCGCTCTTGTCCCATCTCTCGTAAAGGCATTCCGTATTCCGACTTTTACCCGGTTATCCATTCCTCAGTCCTTACCCGTTGGCAGGCTTCTTGGTTGTCTGTTACTGGTAACAAGCTACGTACTCTTAAATGTTGTGTTTCCTCGTGGCAGTCCTCCTTCCACCGTAACCGGCGGTGGGAAACAGCTCTGGCGAGGTTGCGTATTGGCCATACTCGCTTAACCCATGGTCACTTGATGGAGCGCCGCCCTGCTCCTTATTGTCCTAGTTGCATTGTCCCTCTTACGGTCGTGCATGCCCTTCTTGAATGTCCTGACTTCCAGGACGAGCATGTGTCTTGCTTTCCGACCGCCCCTCGCGATCACCTGTCCCTCGATAGAATTCTTGGTGACTCGGATACTTTTGATATCGTTCGCCTTATGCGTTTTTGTTCTCGTATTGGCATCCTTGGTGATATTTAGCGCCCTCTGATTATTTTGCGTATTTGATGGTGCTACATAGCCTTCCCGGTTTGGTGCCTTCTTTTGATAATTACTTATATGCATCAGTGATCTGCCTAATGTCCCTAACATTCTTAAATCTATACTATTTGCCTACGATACTACCTTCATCTACTCAGAACCCGACCCCACACACTAAATAATGTTGTAAATTACGAATTACAAAAGTCCCCTCATGGATTTCAACCAACAAACTCGCTCAAAACATAGAAAAGACGTACTACATTTTATTTGAAAGCAAATCATCATATGAAATTCAGCTTCACATTGACAATGTCAACATCAGCAATAAAAATGATGGCAAGTTTCTTGGCCGACACATTGACAAGAGACTCAACTTCAGCACCCACATACAACACACAACCAAAAAGTCTCAAAAACGGTCGTTATACTTTCTTAAAGCAGATATTATGTTCTAAATTCTGATCTTCTCTCATTATATTACGCGCTAATCTATCCCTATCTTACATACGGTATCTGTGCATGGAGGTTCAACTACTGCAAACTACCTCAAGCCCATCATCATCACCCAGCAAAAATCTGCTATCAGAGCAATAACAAACTGTTTTTAGACATCACACAGCCCCTCTGTTTAAATACCTGAACATGCTAAACATGATCTCACTCCACACATTCTCTTGTTCCATTTACATGTACAAAATCTTGTTCCTAAATGTAAATCTTGATCTGAAACTCTTTCTTGATAGATGTAATAGAACCCATAATCACCTCATGAGAAATATATATATCTTTGATATCCCCAGAGTCAAATTATATCTGTGTAAACACTCAATGCAAATAAAGGGACCTTGTCTATGGAACTGAATCCCTAACGAATTAAGAAACTGTCCAACCTATGCCTTATTCAAAAGCAAACCCTAAAAAGTACCTAATTTCATACTCATAGTTTCCTACCCAGAGCTTCACACTCGCACTGTATCTTGTGTTACCCACTCCCCCAATATATGCTCCTAAGCCATACAACTTCACCATTGTAATCACTGCTATCAACTTGTATTATGGGTTTTATGTAGAATGCAAATTTTACTACAATGTACCTGTTACTAATACTCAAATTATGCTACAATGTACATGTTGATAGTCCTCAAATTTTCTACAAATTACCTACTTAAAATAATCTGTTAGATTAAGGACCTACCAAAAACGCTTTGCGTTTTAGTGGCGTTACAAGAATGTAAAATCATCAATGCTATGTATTCTCACAAACACAATGTACCTTCTTGTGTGTGTGCATATAATATATATATATATATATATATATATATATATATATATATATATATATATATATATATATATATATATATATATATATATTGTACTTAGTAGCCAGTATGCAGTTTTTGGCCTACTATGCAAGGCCTGATTTGCCTAATAAGCCAAGTTTTCCAGAATTTCAATGTTTCTCAATTTTTTTCTTATGAAATGATAAAGCTATCCATTTTATTATGTATGAGCTAATTTTATTTAAATATGAGTTAAAACTAACGTAGATATAAGATCGAACCTAACCAACCCTACCTAACCTAACCAAATCTAACTTAACCTAACCTAAACTAACATAACTAAATCAGTAATTCATGTTCTTAATATAATATAATAATAATATTTAAAATAAACCAATAGGAAACAATTTATTGAAAATAAAGAAAATCACACTCGGCCTATTAGGCAAATCGGACCTTGCATAGTAGGCCGAGAAGTGCGTTCTGGCTACTAGGTAAGACACACACACAATTATATATATATATATATATATATATATATATATATATATATATATATATATATATATATATATATATATATATATATATATATATATATACACTCCACACATTCTCGTATGCTATCAACATGAACAAAACCTTGTTCCTGAATGCTAATCTTGATCTGAAACCTTTCCTTGATAGGTGTAATGTAACCTATGATCACCATTCCAGAAATAAATATCTCTTTGATATCCCCAGAGTCATACTAAATCTGTGCAAACACTTTATGCAAATAAAAAGGCCCAGTCTTTGAAACGCACTCCCTGATGAATTAAAAAATTGTCCAACCTATGCCCTATTTAAAACTAAAACCAAAAAGTACCTAATTTCATCCGCATAGTTTGCTACCTTGTGCTTAAAACTCACACTGTATCTTGTACTACCCACTTCCCCAATATTAGTACTTAAGACAAATCTTTACTAGTGTAATCACCGCTGTCAATTTATAATGTGGTTATTTGTTGATATATAAAACCTTCCTAAAATGTATCTTTTTATTTGACCTGATATGTTAGATTAAGGACCTGGCAGAAACGCTATTTGTGTCAGTGGCTTTCCAAGAATGTAAGAATATTACTCAAATGTAATCTCACCAACCCATTGCACCTTCTTGTGAATAAAAGTGTTAATAATTTTCACTACATTATTCAACAATAATTATTATTATTATAAATACATAAATAAATAAATAAATAAAATGTTAAATAATATTATATATAAGATAATGAATTCATACATTCATTACCAAACGGGTCCATAACAAAGCCCCCTTCCAGTTTCTTCCAGCAGACATCCTGGTTACTGGACGTCGACCCGACCATCTTCTGTGTGAATGCCTTCTCCATCAACAGCTACCCAGGGGTGGCCCACGACCCCACGGTGCTCCGACGCTTCGAGATGATGCCTCAGTTTGGCTGGATGGTCACCCGCCGGTGGGCGAGGGAGCAGCACCACGCCTGGATACCGGAGAAGGTGCGGCCAACAGCCTTGGTGCTCCTTCCTCTATATTTCTCTCTTTACACACATGATCTGTACCTGTTCTTTTTTTTGTTAATCATTCTTCTTTTTAACTTTCACAGCTGGTTTTCACCATTATATTGGTGAGCATGGCATTGTGAGGGTGCGTAGTTACTGAGTTCAATCACGTTCACTTGTTCATCAACTCTAATTAGTCCCACATTGTGACTTTCGAGTTTTGGCAATAGTTTTCAACATTGCATAATACTTATCATTAGTTCGTGACTCGACACGCACCGCCGTCAACATAGCGGGCTCACCGTCCCTAAGTACCAAGATTTACCTCGGACAAAAACAATCATTCATTAGTTGTTTACACAGTGTTTATGAACAATTGTAATAAGTAAATGAGTATTTTTGTTTTAGTAAGCATGAACTCAAGATGAGTATGCTGGAATACTTACGCTGTTACAACTGAGCATTAGTATACTGGTATTTGATGGTGATGGTATATACTATTATGTCATCACATATGAAGGTTAATACACTAGTATACGCATGATGACATGACTGAGAATTAGTATACTGGCATACATATGCTGTCACGACTGAAGGTTAGTATAATAGTATATGTATGCTGTCATGACTGATGATTAGTATACTGGCATACATATGTTGACACGACTAAGGATTGGTATATAGGTATACATATGCTGACACGACTAAGGATTAGTATACTGTTATTCATATGCTGACACGACTGATGTTTAGTATACTGGCATATGTAAGCTGACACAACTAAGGATTAGTATTCTGGCATACATATGCTGACACGACTAAGGATTAGTATACTGGTTTGACCTGCAGTCATGACAGCATGTGTCTCAGTATACTAACCTACAGTCGTTACAGCATACGTATACCAGTACATTACTCTTCAATAGTAATGGCATATTTATACGAGTATACTAACTTTCAGTTGTGAAAGCATACGTATATCAGTATACTATCCTTCAGTCGTGATAATACATATATGCCAGTATACTAATTCTCTGTCGTGCCAGCATATGTATGCCAGTATACTAATCCTCTGTCGTGCCAGCATATGTATACCAATATACTAATCCTCAGTCGAGTCAGCATATGTAAACCAGTATATTAATCCTCAGTCGTGTCAGCATATGTATGCCAGTATACTAATCCTCTGTCGTGTCAGAGATACAGAGATATATGATGGTGATATATCATCATGATGTATACCTGGATACTAATGCTCAGTTGTATCAGCTTAAGTATACAAGCATAACTTCAATATATCTTCATAACTTCATATCTTAACTTCACGCTTGTATATCTTCATAACTTCATATCTTAACTTCACGCTTACTAAGACAAACACGCAATTACTTTATATATATATATATATATATATATATATATATATATATATTATATATTTAATATATATATATATATATATATATACTGTCATGACTAAAAGTTAGTATAATAGGCTGCATATGCTGTCATTGATGAAGGTTAGTATACCTGTATGCATATAATGTCATGACTGAATGTTAGTATATTGGCATACGTATCTTGTCATGACTGAAAGTATACTGGTACACATGCTGTCACGATTGAAAGTTAGTATACTAGCATACTTTTGCTGTCACGACTGAAAGTTAGTATACTGGCATACATATGCTGTCACGACCGAAAGTTACCTGTATACTGGCTGTTGTTGTTGTTAAAGATTCGCTACCTGGAACAAAGTTCCAAGTAGTACGGGCTACGGTGAGCCCGTAGTGCCTTGTATACTGGCATACATATGCTGTCACGACTGAAAGACAGTTCGGCAATTATATTGTTTTATAACACCTTGATAAACTCGTACAGAAGGCTGGGAAGAATTGTTAGTAAAATCTTCTCTGATGTTTACCTCGCCCCCAGGAGACCGCGGACTGGGACTGGTGGCTGTTCTCCCAGACGTCCCTGCGGGGGCGCCACGCCCTCGTGCCGGAGATTGGACGCACCTTCCACGCCGGGGCGGCCGGCGCCCACGTCTCGGGCTGGGAGCAGGAGCACCTCTTCAGCCACATGATATATAATCAAGACCCGGACGTTAAGCTCCAGGGGCTGGAGGAGTAGGTTGTCCACCGTGGGGGTCTTGTATGAAACTGTCCTACACTAGCCAGTTATTCACACGCTTTTCAACGAGCTTCATCAACAAACATGTTGTTTGTGTTTGAGAATATTTAGGTTAACTTTTTTCGAGAATACCTCTGTGTTTACATACAGCCTTTTTTGTATATATCCAGTCAAGTGCATATCCAGATTGATTGTATATGACCTATACACTTGCCTGTATATATACAGTCGTCTATAACAGCTGTCCTTGTTCGTTCATCATGTGAACAAAATATTGTCTAAAACATGTCTGTGATCACTCCCGCTCAGCCTCACACTGGAGCGCTACGAAGCCAAGTTCAAACGCGAGATACTGACGGCTGAGGACCTGGAGGTTATACCCCACCCCTGTACACGCCCCTTCCTCCCCCAGCATAAGGTAAGCTTTATCCTTCCTCCTCCATCACAAGGTAAGCTTTACCCCTCCTCCAGTATAAGGTAAACTTTATTCTCCCTCCCTTCCCCCAGGACAAAGTAAGCTTAGCGTCCTCCTTTTTCATCAGGAACTAACTGTACAGTAGTCTCTTGAAAGGGCCAGGCCTGAGAACAGATTGAGCGGTGACCCTCCCCAAGACGCACTCATCATTTTTAACGTATTGTATATTTAAAATAGATTTGTTGTAGGCGATGAGTCATAACGTGGCTGAGGATATGATGACCAAATCACACACATCAGAAAGTGAAGAAACGACGACGTTTCGCTCCGTCCTGGACCATTATCAAGTTGTGTAATTACAAGACTTGATAATAGTCCAGGACGGACCGAAACGTAGTCGTGTTTTTCACTTTCTGATATGTGGCATGGTCATCAATAGATTTGTTCTCAAGTTAACATCAAGTTAATAATAACAAGTTAATACGCCAGATATAAGTTAATATCTATCTATATAAATAAAATAGAAATGTTCGTTTGTTCAAAATCGCTAAACTCCGAAAGTTCTATACCGATTGAATTGAAATTTTCACACAACGTTCCATTCGCACCCGAGCAGGTTTTTATATAAATGCTGTATGGATGTTACGTCTGTGATGGGGAAAAAAACACATTTTTTTGTTGAAAAGCTGTGTTTTTTTGTGTGTTTTTCAAGTGAGGGAAATCTTCGAAACCTCTACCGATTGCTTTGAAATCTTGACACAACATTGCATTCGAATAGGTGAGTGTTTTATATACCTACTATATACATGCCTCACTTGTGACAGGAAAAAACATACTTTTTTTTTAAAAACAGCGCCATCTGTTGGACGTAAGAGCAACAAACGCTGTAATCTCCGAAAGTAAGTAGTTGTCAATAGAAGGCACCAAACCGGGAAGGCTATGTAGCACCATCAAATGTGCAGGATAATCAGAGGGCGCTAAATATCACCAAGGATGGCAATACGAGAACAAAAACGCATAAGGCGAATGATATCAAAAGTATCCGAGTCGCCAAGAATTCTATTGAGGGACAAGCGACCGCGGGGGACGGTCGGAAAACAAGACACACGCTCGTCCTGGAAGTCAGGACATTCAACAAGGATATGCACGACCGTAAGAGAGAGAATGCAATTTGGACAATAAGGAGCAGGGCGGCATTCCATTAAGTGAACGTGAGTTAAACAGATATGGCCAATATGTAACCTAGCCAGAGCCGTTTCCCACCGCCGGTTACGGTAGCAGGAGGAAGGCCACTGGGACACACGACTCTTAAGAGTACGCAGTTTGTTACCAATAACAGAAGACCAACAACTCTGCCAGCAGGCAAGGATGGAGGCATGAATAACTGGGTAAAAGTCGGAATAAGGAATACCATTATGGGAGATGGGACAAGTGTGGATAGCGTCCTTAGCGGCAGCAACCGCATGCTCATTTAAAGAGACACCAACATGGCTGTGAATCCAGCACAACGCAACCGACTTAAATTTACTGGTGATAAGAAGCAGCCAATGTTGAATCTCGATGACCACCGGGTAGACTGGATTAAAGGACCCGAGAGCCATGAGGGCACTACGAGAGTCAACTACCACCACGAAGGAGGATTGACACCGGGAAAGCAGGAGACAAAGAGCATAGAGAATAGCATAGAGTTCTGCTGTAAAGATGCTAGCCTCCGGAGGAAGGCGACACATATAAGTGTGGTCAGGAAAAACAGCAGAGTAGCCCAGCACCGTCTTCACCCGTCGGTGAAGATGGGAACGGAGTGGGAGTGAGAAGAAAAGTGGTCAAGGAAGAGGCGTTTCAGAACTGTAGGAGGGGTAAAAGCTTTAGTGATGCGGGTCAGAGAAATACAAAATTTGGGAAGGGGGACCCTCCACGGGGGCAAGGATGGAACAATACGAGGAGAAACATTAGTAATACGAACCGAAAGAGAATCTTGTAAGCGAGACAAATGGACAGAAAGAGGAAGGTGGTGAAGAGGAACAGGAACTACAGGAGGGGCAAAAGTCAAAGCACAATAGAGGCAAGAGTGAGGATGCTGTAAAGATCGCACAAGGTAGCAAAGACTGTAGCGATCATGCCGGTCCTGGAGAGACAAAGCCAGTGTCAGCGTACAAGCTGAGGGTAGGAGTTTAACGAAAAGCACCAGAGCTGAGGCGCAACCCAGTATGGTGCAAAGGATCAAGACGGCGAAGAGTAGAAGGAGAAGCAGAAGCAGAAGAGTATGCAGGGCAACCATAATCGAGTTTAGACAGGACGAGAGAGGAATGCAAATAGAGGAGCGTGCGTCTATCTGCTCCCAAAGAAGTATGGGACAAAACCTTAAGTATGTTAAGGGCCTTAGAGCATTCAACACGGAGGTAAGAGATATGGGGAGACCAAGACAAACGAGTGTCAAGGAATAACCCCAAAAGTTTCGCAGAATCTTTGTACTCAAGGGGATGACCATAAAGTGACAAAGAGGGACGAACAACGACCTGCTTCCGAGTAAAAGTCATGGCACAAGTCTTAGAAGTAGAGAACTTGAAGCCTTCATTGGTGGCCCAAGATGACACGGCATCAATCGCAAGTTGAAGCCGCCGTTGAAGGAGAGGCAAATCATCACCTCGACAGCAAAGAGTAAGATCGTCAACATACAGAGCGGAGAAGATGCCAGAAGGAAGGGAGGAAAGTAGACCATTGAGAGCAACCAGAAAGAGTAGTACTAAGAACACTACCTTGGGGCACACCTTCATACTGAAGAAAAGAGGCAGAGAGAGTGGTACCAAGTCTGACTCGAAAGGTACGACGAGAGAGAAAGCCTTGAAGGAAGAGTGGGAGATTACCACGAAGGCCAAAAGAACGAAGTTGGGACAGAATATGGTATCTCCAAGTCGTGTCATAAGCCTTTTCCAGGTCAAAAAGGACAGCAACAACAGAGGTCTTCGCAGCAAAAGCAGTACGAATATAGACCTCCAAGTTCACCCGAACATCAGTCGTGCTGCAGCACTTGAGAAAACCAAATTGAGAAGGAGAGAGGTGGTGATGGTGTTCCAAGAACCACATGAGACGGACATTTACCATACGCTTAAACAGCTTGCAAACACAACTCATGAGAGCAATAGTGCAGAAGTCCTTAGGGGATGTACCAAGAGACCCTGGTTTGCGAATAGGGCGTACAACGGCATCGAGGCAGTCCTCAGGGACAGACGACGACTACCAGACCTGTTTATACAGACTCAGTAAATACTGAGACGTGCACGGAGGGAGATGGCGAAGCATCTCATAATGAACGTCATCCGTGCCCGCCGCCGTAGATCCGCAGAGGGCCAGGGCAGACTGAAGTTCAGAATGAGAGAACGAATCGTTATAGGGAAGGCTTGAGGAAGGATTGAGGAAGATGAGAACCAGAGCTAACAGAAGAAAAGTGGGAACCCAGTTCGGTCGCGACCTTCACTGGATCCGCCATAAGAGTACAACAGAGGTGGAGAACCGGCAAGACATCTAGAACGAACTTGCCCGCAGTCTTGCGGATCTTCTTCCAGATCTGTAGCAAGGGAGTATCAGATGTAATGGTGGAAACATAAGATTTTCAACTCTCACGTTTAGCTGTACGGATGGTCCTACGGGCCACCACACTTCCCTTCCGAAACAAAATAAAAGAATCAGCCGTCTGCCGGTGGCGGTGTTTCTTCCAGGCTGCACGCTTACAGCGGACAGCCCGAGCACAGTCCGCATTCCACCAGGGAACACACTTCCGTGTGCCCCGGGAAGAAGAGCGAGGAATGGAGCAGAGGGCAGCGTTGAAGACAGTGTCATAAAAAAGGAGGAGGAGCGAGGAAGAGGCTGAGAGGAGAGGTCAGAGAGAGTAGCATGGAGGGTAAATAGGCTCCAGTCAGCCTTGGCAAACTGCCACCTAGGGAAGGAGAGGGGAGGGTGGAAAGAGAAAAATGAAACGAGGATAAGGAAGTGATCACTGTTATGGAGGTCATCAAGAACCTGCCACGTGAAATCTAAGTAAAGGGACGACGAGCAGAGAGAAAGATCAAGACAGGAAAGGGTGTGAGTTCGAGAGTCCACATGAGTGGGCTCACCAGAATTTAGAAGAGACAGGGAAGAAGAGAGGAGAAACGGCTCAAGGAGGCGACCCCGGGTATTCGTCAGAACGTCACCCCAAAGAGAATGACGACAATTGAAGTCACCCAGCAGGAGCACTGGCTCCGGTAAGGGGTCCAAGAGGTGCTCAAGATCAGGAAGGGAAAGTGGGACATTTGGGGGGAGATAAATGGAACAGACTGTATAAAATATACATATATATTATGTATATATATATTAGATATATTAGACTGTATACCCACAAAAACACGGGCAGCAGAACAATCGATAGGTGACGGAAGAAGTAGGGGGACGACGGGAATATCAGAACGAATTAAGATAGCAGTAGAGTTATGGGCACCAGCAAGAGCTGGGGGGGGGGGCAGAGAAAGAAAGGAATAACCACGAAAGTGACCAGGGCGAGCACCAAGCATTGGTTCCTGGAGACAAACACAAAGTGGTGTAAACTGTGTAATTAGAAGTTGGAGTTCATGGAAGTTGGCATAAAATCCACGAATATTCCACTGAAGAATAGACATTATCAAAGAGAAAGGACAGTAACAGAGAACAGGAAAGAAATAAAGGTATAGAAGAACACAGTTTATTAAAGAATCTCAGGAGCAGGGTCAGGATCAGGAGTAGGGTCGGCAAAATCAGGGTTAGGGGGCATGGGTAAACTTAGTAAGGATAGAGGGAAGGGAGCAAGAGGACAGACCAGAGGCGGACTGACGGGGTCTGGAGGAGGAGGAGACAACTGAGAGGGGGCAGGCAAGGACAACTGGAGGAGGGGGAGCAGAAGTCAGGGAGTGCACCTCAGCAAGGGCAGCAACCGAGAGGGAATCGGGGGCGAAAGAAACCTCCATATCTGGGACAGGGGGTTCGACCACTGA